AGGGCAGAAAAAAATTTTTTAAATATTTACCATAGATAAGTGAGGATTACGTTCGATCATATTGATCAGGAAACAATTTATGGCATTATTTAAATGCAGCATGGCAGAAGTGGCAGCAAATTTGAAATCTGTCTGCGACAAGATATCGTACGCTGCCACGAAGAGAGCACCGGTATTCTTTTCCGTATTCAATATTTATTGTCAATTAAATTTATATAAATTTATTTTTGTTGTGTAATGCGTTGGATGATTATGAAGGGAACATCGCGTTTTCGAAAATTAGTGCATATATATAGCAGCAATAGGTTAGATCGCACAGATCAAGAGATATTTATCTCATTCTCGCAGGAGCATCAATATTATGAACCGCGGCTGGTAGCTGTTAGCAAATTGCAGTCCACGGTATCGATAGTATCCGCATACGAGGCTGGTCAGAGGCATTTCGGTGAAAATTACGTGAACGAGTTAGTGGAGAAGGCCTACAACCCGTTGATTCTTGAGAGGTGCAAAGAAATTCGATGGCACTTTATAGGCAATTTACAAAGGAATAAGGTCAACAAAGTTTTATGTATACCAAATTTGTATGTCATCGAGACTGTCAATAGCGACAAACTTGCAAATGCGCTCAACAATTCCTGGCCGAAATTTCGAAAGAGCGATGACAGCAAGTTAAATGTCATGGTACAGGTTAACACGAGTCAGGAAGAGGGTAATAAATTATTTATTATGTCATATTCGTAAATATTATATCAGACAAAGTGATTTTTAGCTCAATGAATTTTAGAGCATCCTACATAAAAATTGCAATTACAGAAAAAAATGGTTGCGATATTGAGCAAGTGTCAACTCTTGTAAAGTACGTCATAGAGAACTGTCCTAATTTGAAATTAATGGGCATCATGACAATAGGAAAATTTGGATACGATATCAAGAATGGACCGAACCCTGATTTTCTTTGTTTAATAAAATGTAGAGAAAAGATACGCGACGAATTGGGAATTGATATGAAGGATATTGAATTATCAATGGGAATGTCCAATGATTATGAACATGCAGTAAGATCTTTGGACTAACTATCTATTTGCAAACAGTGCTAATAGATTTCATTTTTATATAAAGTCCATCTGTCATTTTCTATTGTAGATTGAACTTGGCAGTACAAATGTGAGAGTAGGAAGTGCAATTTTTGGGGAAAGACCACAAAAGAATAATTGAAAAGCTGTAATATAACTGTATTAAATCAATAATTTTATCTTGAAGAAAAAGGATATATGTGGAGGAATATAGGGATACATTTGTTTATCTTGAGATATGTATGTATAATAAATATTTTTTCTGCAGCAGATACAAGTAATTTTCTCTATTTTAAGATTAATTATTGGAATATCTATTATTTCCTCTATTTTAAGATCTTTCCTCAATTCTTGCTTTTATTCTGTATAAAAAATAAAAATATCATATGTTTTGTCTTTAAGCTGATTAGCAAATGTGAGTGCTGATCAGAATAAAGACAAGAAGGAGCCGCAATTTAGAGGAAAGCTAATTTGAAATAGAGAAAATTATTTATAAGAGATACATAATAAATGTACACATATATATTATAAATATATGTACAAAATGTTAATAAAGATCATTAAGATGTATCAGAATGAAATTTACGCGCTATTGTGTGTTATATTAATAACTGTACAATTATCATATTTTTAATTATAAATATAGACGTAGAATATAAATGTTGTTAACAAATATATAATTTATTCAATTTTAATTTCATTTTGTAAGCTAAACAAGTATATATATTGCAATGATATCAATTTCAAATATATCAATTATTTATAATCTAATAGAGTTTAAACAATTAACTTTTGGAATTTATATAAAAATATTTATAAAATTAGTATATTCTTGCTGATCTTTCTTATTTTAATTTTATATGGCTCTGCAAGGAATTCTTATAGGTAGCTCGCTGTTTTATTCCTTTTTTTTATCTGTTCTAATAATGTGACTATATAATTAATAAATTATAACATTAACTGGTATAAAAATTCTAATCAGTGAAATCCATAAATTAATAATTAAAGTAAGCTAAGAAAAAGAATGGAAATATTTATCTTTCATTTTAACAGAAATTTGATGTCTTTGTGTAATTAGAAATTATGTTTTAGTGGTACAGTTTTAAATAGAGACTCGTCTTTTTATCTGTTTTTTAATAATTAAAAAAAATTTTCAAATTAATTAAAAATTAATTTGAAAATTTATGTTAACTGGATAGCTTATTTTTATAAGGACGATATAAATCCTTCCACTATTCTCTTAAACTCTTCTATATAAAACTTTATAATTGGTACAAAAATATATAAAAAATAAAATAAAAATTTGCGGAATTTTTATTATGCGTATAAAGTTGATATGATAAATGGGCGTGGTCCAGTTCCAACCAATCCTCAGCCTCATTATGTCGTACGGACACATATGTAGGTCACCTTCACCATTTTTTTTTACAGAAGCATGGTTCAAATATATCTTGTGCAAGGTCACGAATTACGCAAGTTACCGCTCTTAAAAGTTATGGAAGTCAGTCAGTCACTTTCTTCGCAAAATCACGGGTCGCTCAACGCAACATCATTGTTCGCTCGACAGTAATCGATCGATCAAAACTGAAGCTATGCCCTGTATAAACCAAAAATTAAAAGAAAACTTGCATAATCAAAACTATGAAACATTTTTACATAACTTTCGTGCTGCTGTTTTCATCCCTTAAAATTCTACAAATCATTGGCTATTTAAATTCAGAGGGTACAGCTTTTTTTTAAATTAAAATTTTAGACACTTTTAAACTATATATTCACAATCTTCAATGTTAAACAATTCTTTGACACGTACAATCTACAGATGCAATCTTGCTTGCAACCGGCATTTCCAAAAAAAATCCACGAAAATTTATTTGTAAGGAGGGCGGATGACATTTTCTGAATTCCAAGAACATCGCACAATTATTTTTAAAAATAATTTAAGACATATCTTATACCGTGCTTCTCTTGTGTACCTTTTTCGCACATGTTACAAGCAATATAACTAAGGAAAATCAACTAAACACAAAAGTTGCCCCTACAATATGCGTTAATAAAGAGACAGTTCCGATGCAATTTGACGTAAGCTTGCATCAGACAATCGTAAATGAGGAGATTGGTGTACTGTAGTCCATAATACATTATTCATAATACACGCTATGCAATACACATTGCAGTTTAGCATATAAATTTAAAAATATTATGAGAAAACAAGTTACTTGTTTATGTTTTGATATGCAAGTATACGTACGAGCAACTTAATATATAGTATATAATCGGTTCCCTTTCATTGTGAATTTTATAAAATGAATTTCACAACTTTACTCGGATATATTATAAATTTCGTTTGTTTCTTATATTTTTTATTTTTATATATTAAAAAATGTAAGGAACAAAAATTGTACGATGTTATAATTTGTGAATTGTAAAAAAAAGTATGCAAAGAGCATTGATGCACACTTCGATATTTATACTCTAAAAAATTTTTCATTCAAAATGATGGGGTATTAAAAAATATAAGCGGTAGAACTTGAATAACGAATGAATCGATCATAATCGAGTATTCTCGAAAATTCAAATTTAACTTTTAAAAATACGTAATTAACTTCGAACTTGCTTACAATTTAAGTTCTTACGTTTTTGGTATATTTTATTAATTTAATTGTACCGTGAAATGCAAGTTGGCATATGAAAGAAGCTATTTATTTTGACGTGTGTTGCAGGATAAAATTTTATACGATTTCTCGCTTTTGACGTCATATGGAATACGGTTGGAGTGAGGGAACAGGAGTCTATACCGATCGAAGGCGTCAAATGTATTCATAACTTAACAAGATGTAATATTTTACAATTATGTGATGCAATAATTCCCTACTGCGAGCAACAGTATGCGTACACGCACAACACAAGGAGTTTTTGGAAAAATGCACCATGCACACTAGACAGGTTTGTCTGCAGCATGCGTATAAATACGCTGTTAGATTTAGACAGAGCATTCAATCCGTTCCTCGTGTTTCAACGGGAAATAGAAAAACAGACATCATGTTCAAAGTAAGTTCCTTCAAACAGTCCGTTCAATATTATTATTTGCGTAATTTTCATATTCGTCAATTTGTAAAAATGAATAAAAATAATGTATTTCTTTACGCTTCAAGTTAAGATTATAGACTTATATTTCTAGAATTATAATATTTATATCAATTGTAAAAACGGTATAACTCATACATCGCATAATTACTAACATTTTAATTTTAAGACAACGCGATTATCAACATATAAAATTAATAATTATAATTATTTTAAGAGAGATTGAACATGATGTGATCTAAAATCATTTAAATAACCATTTAATAATCCAGTAAATAAGACATAATATCCTGAAATTTAAAATTTTCGAAAATAAAGAAACGTTTAAATCTTGCAGATCTTGGTAGTCTTCGGCCTGTTGGCCATCGTAAACGTATACGCCGGCTTGCTCGCTCCGGCGATTGCTGTCAAACCAGCTGCGGTTGCTGTCGCTGTTCCCGTCAAATGTATGGATAATTCTTTTATTGTTGAAAGAGCACGCAGAATTTCACGTGATACGGCATTAAGAGAGTTAGCATCCTGCAACGATTTTGGAACCATTCAAGTTATTAATGTATATCACATACACGAATGGTAGCCTTGCAATTAATTGATCGCTAGAGGATGCGAACTGTCTTTCTCAATTCCTTTTCACTGTTTATCTAATTTAACGTTCGCTAAATCTGTTACAGCGTGGGGTAATGCTGGATGGGCCGGTAATGCTGGATGGGCTGGTAACGCCGGATGGGGTAACGCCGGATGGGGTAACGCCGGATGGGGTAACGCCGGCGGATGGGGTAACGCCGGCGGATGGGGCAATGGCGCGTGGAACAATGGCGCGTGGGGACTTAAGGGCTAGATCCTTTATTTAATAAGATATAAGAAACCTGCCGCTACCCCTATCAACAACTACACATCGCAGAATGTACCTTACCCTTTATATCGGATACATATACAATTCGCTGATGCATTTCGCAGATCTCCCTAAAGTCAGTATGTACAAAATTCTTTTCTTTTTCTATTAGAATGTTTTTCCCCCGTCCCACTTGAAATTGTTGATAAATTATTGATAAGCGCCGCGATAAAAAAAACAAGAAATAGTAATAAAATAATTTCATATATAAAAAAAACTTGGGTGTTCTATCTGGTAGAAAGCATTTTACCCCCAGCGTCCCTATTACAAATTAAATTCCTAAAATAAGATAATATGCGAGGTAACACGCGTTGTGATATAATAGTTTCCGCTGTACACATCTCACCTCGTGATTTATCAATCGTGATAATTAATTCAGTCCCTTAAGAAACGAATAGACTTATGGGGTTGAAAGATCAAGCTTTTGATAGAATAAAGTAGGATTTTTATTGCGCAACTACTTACATTGTAGTGTCATTAATTTGCCACGTACGCAGAAGTAGTTACAGGTGTCGAGAATTTTCGAATAAATATATGTATATCATAATAAAGTCGCGTCTGATACAATCGACGCTTAATAGGCATAGGCGATTCCGATCGGGCTGCTGTAGCTCATGTGAGACACTTCGACGGCCGGCGAGTAAGCGACTCCGAGAGCAGCCGGGCGCACGGCCGCGGGTAAAGCGGCTGCGGCGTACGTCAACGGGGCTGGATGAGCGAGATGAGCGTAGGTGGTGACGGCCGGATTAGTCACGCGGATGTCGGTCTTGCTCGAGCTGGAGAACGGCGTGTCGATGGTCTTCGTTTGCGTGGCCACCTGCGCGAGATTGCCGGGGCTGCGAAGTATATTGTCGGACGTCGACGTGATGGCATGGGGTTCAACGTGCGCTATCGGCGTGAACTCGTGATACTGCAGAGCGGAAGGCACTCCGATGTAGCCGGCGTTGGCCGCGGCCAAGATGCAAGCGATTACGAATAGCTGGATAGAAAATAGAATTCTCCATTAATGACTTCGTTGATGATGAGCGCAGATCTCTAAACGTATGTTCTTTATACTCGACATAATCCATAATTTATCGCAGTTGATCGTACATACCTTAGCTGCCATTATTGCTATGCGGGGAAGATTCTGCAACGACTTTATTTGCGTCTGAACCGAAATACGAATGCTACAATCCGTGACAATCGGTACTTTTATACTTGGCAGACAAACGACGAGCCACACGAAATCTTTCGGTACCCACATGGTTCGCCCATGGTGGGATATAGTGTCAAGGATATATTTAATATTGCGCCATTGCGCCGAACGTCTTGCTCCCCGTTGAATCGTTACGCCCTTCCGATGATTTATAAATACCTAAAATGTTCCCGTTTTTTCCTATGACGTTCTTGAGATAATTATTTAGAATTTATTAATTTCAATTATTTATTAATTTAAAGTTCTCTCTATCTCTACCTGCAATTACGTTTAAATTTTATAAATTTTAAAACATTATTTAATGCATCGCCCTTAATGAGAATGCATTGAGTTTCTAATAACACCGATTAGAATAAAATTTTGAATTTAATTTTCCTTACTTTTTTATAAGACAAAACGAATTTTATTTTATATATATGTATATACTAAAATCTTTTATATTCTCTCAAATAAGTTATAAAGCATAAGAATAAGAAAAGCAATATGGAGAATTTACTTCTTATTCTGTCATATTAATGTTTCTAAGATTTCAAATTTCATATATTGTTATACTAAACATGCGAATTTTACGAGTATATCGATTGGTGCCTTTCGTCTTCAAAACTGGAACATCCGGCTTGGCCACGCCTCTTCGAGCGGAAAGTAGTCTAGCCTTGTATTCCCTCTCAAACTTTTTCTTTCAGGGCGTAACTCGTTACAATTACATTTCATTTTGTATTCAGGAAACTGGTATCACTGACATTAACCGCATCTTAATTTTACATAAACTGCAAGATAAATTTGCATTCCTTTTTCCAATTCTGCACGAATTCCTGATATGAATTCGAATATACGACATTGAATTCGAGCTTCAGACATTGAAATTTTATTTGTGAGCGGATAATTAACACTGAAAAGATGTAAATATATATCACGCATAATACGATGAAGAATATTAATAATCAAATTTATCCAAATATTAAGATGCTGATTTTTACTCCTATTAAATTAATATCAATAGATAGAGAAATATGAGCCGGTGAATGAAGATTATATATTCTCTTTTATTAGCTAATATACGTCTACAATTCTACTTCCGCTTAGCTGCACTGAACACGTGCCATCATAGAAATTTGTTGCGCCTTTTGCACTATATCAGGACAACGTCGTCGCCTCACTAATCTGCAGTCTTGAAAAAAACCTTCGTTCCTCGGAAATCCGTGCGATCCATCAGCATAAGTCACTAAACCTGATTAATCAATAGAAAGTATGTTACGATAAAATTTACGTCTAAATTACAATTGAAAAATTGCATTGATGTCCTAATCCAATAGTCAAATCGGTTGCAGCGCTTTATTTACAAAGTTATGAGTTAATAAATTATCGATTTAATTATGTACCTAAGCCCCAGACACGACCTCCACGAAATTCCCCTTCAAATTTCATTCCGTCGGCTCGCCAGAACACACCGTGGCCGTGAAACCATCCTTGCATAAATTCTCCCTCGTACCTAAGAAAAAGTGAATGTAAATGGTTTGCACAAATATACGACGGGACAATATTTTTGAGTGACACGCGAAATGTGGAGTAAAAATTTTGCAGCACAAAACTTACTTCGCTCCGTCGGGAAATACAATAACTCCCAAGCCTGAGCATAATCCATTTTGAAATGCTCCATCATATCGCGTTCCATCCGGAAGAGCTAGTAGACCAGCACCGTGTTTCAGTCCCCTACGATTCCAATCACCAATATATTTTGTACCATCGTCATATTTGTATGCCCCACTCTTTGCCACACCTATGTAGACACACAGGTATTTAATAAGAAAAAAAATCAAATATTTTATATATTCAAAAAAATGCTGATGTTATTTTTTTTCGTACTTAATTCTTCAATTAAATAAAAGAGAAGTCTTAATGTTACAATCGCATGTTCTTACCGTCGCCCATGCCTGCGCTGCACTAAACACGTCTAAGTTAGCTGTGACTTTAATCCATTTATAAAAATCAATTCTTTATTCAATTAAGAAAGATATCTGGGATAAACAGACATAGGAAGACCTCAGGAGATATCCAGGAAAATATGTTGCGAATTAGACATGTAAATAAAAACAATCAAATACAAATTTATAGATTTATAACGTGATAATATTTAATTATAACAAATTTACATTTTTCAGAATATAAAGTAAAGCAAAAAATATTTATAAAAATCATAGATATCGTTAGATATATCTATACAAAATCAAACAACGATATCGTTTATTCCTTCGACTGTTCACCAGATGCACCTACTAGATACCATCGTATCCTCGCTTCCACCGCAGCCTTTCTGACTAAACGTTTGCGATCGTCGATTATTATCCCCAATTTGTCTAATACAGTCTGCTTGTATGGATTGATTAGAATAATGGGATAATTACTATAATGCGCTAGGCATTCTAGAGCCGCAATTCTAACATCCTATTAATACCAAAACACTGATTTACATAGTGATACAACAAAAATTTGAAGTCAATGTAAATAATTAATTACCATAATCCGATGCGTTGATAATTGCATAAGCCTTGGTATAACACATTGTAAATTATCAGAAAACACGTCGTGTTTAGTATCAAGTAAAAGTTTAAATGACGTCAATGCCCAGAGAACTAAATGTTCATTGTTAAGAGACAGAGATTCGATCAACAGCGGCACCAACTGATAACGTAATACATTAATCAAAATATTATTCCCATTTCAAGGTGATGTAATATTTTTATCATCAATAATGACGAAAACTTACCTCAGTTAAATGCAAGAATAATAATTCTTCAGGCATTTGTTCTAATAAATGTACCAAAGCAATAAGATAATTCTGTCTGGTTGTGCTTGTCAAATTAATATTTTGTCGCAACAAATATTCGAACACTCTTTGTTTATAAAAAATTTTCACGTCGCAGAAATTTTCCGTTATCAAAATATCCTCATATTTGCTTACTAAAATTTGGTATCGTTCACCTATGAATTGACCTATTTCATCATGAGTTAATAAATGTGTTAGCTGTAAAAACAAAGACACGGTAACATTATTTTATCTATATTATCCACGTCATAATCGAGTATTAAATTATTATAATTACATTTAACCATACGTACATTTTCCAGAAAGTATTGAGACTTTGCGTATCCTCTCATGACGAGTGCTTTAGTCATCCAAATTTGAAAGTGAACTGTATGTTGCTTTAATTCAATGTCATTATTCGCATTTAAATTATTATTTATTTTGTCTTCTAGATAAGAAACAATCTTATCGAGATCCGACACCTTCATCTTATTTAATAACACAGACAGAAATTTACAGCTTGTTTGTCTTATATTCAGATTGCAATTGCTAGTTGCTAGATTGTACAGATTTTCCACCGTATTATTATTTAGGTTCAAATTGATATCTTTCCGTAAAGAAATGAAAAGATTCATCATTATAGTTACGTCAGTTTCGGGAATTTTTGTATCTAAAGCCGCAGCGTATTTCGCTACGATCGCACGTTGTTCTTCGATTGTAAGACTTCGTATAATTAACTGACAGATATTAGATATCAACATTTTGTGATCGACAACATTTGTCTCGTATGAAATTAATTTATCAATAATATGGCATTCCTTGTATAAAAATTGATGTATGTTGTAATCAGATTTCTTTAAAGCAACTAATTTCTGGATATTCAGTAATATTGTGATACATATATCGGTATCAACGGTGTCTGTTAACATCGTAACAATTTTCGGAAGTATTACACAGCCTAGTTGACGTATTTTTGCAATTGCCGATAAAGCCTTTATTCTACGTTTCAGTAATTCTACGTCCGTTTCATCTGAAACATTTCATTAATATATCACTTTTCAAATAATATCACTTCTGTCAATTGACAGAAGCAAATTCACAACAACTATATATCTGTATTCAAGACACACACTTACCTGAGTTTGATAACAATTTCTCTTTAACTAACATTGATATTTCTTCAAGGTATAACGCAGCAAAATCTATAATAGTTGTGTGACATATAATTTGTATTTTATCGCATCCTGTTTCAATTTCATTGCATATCGCATTATATAATGTAGAGCGTTGTACGTCATTCAAATGTGCCTTTTGGATTGTTAAACCAAAGAATATTTTACTTTTTAATTCAAAACTTTCTATTGTCAAGCCATCTAAATATGTTTGAGGTATATTCGTCCATGATAACTCTGGAACATCTATATTAAATTTCATTATATTTCTATATTGTATATACAAAATATATCGATATTATATTATAGTTCAAATAATATTATATCTCTCAATTTACCTTGAATACAGAAATCGTAATTAGAACATATTTTCATAAAATTATTTAAAGTTTCTATCAATGCGATTTTATCGTTTAATGAATTCTTTGTAGAATATTGTCCGATACATAGAGGTACTACAACTTGCAAGATTTGTACACATATTGTTTTGTTTATCGTGGCTATCGTTTCCAGTAGCGTTTGGACAGGTCTATACAAACTAAGTTGCACATCGCACAAGGACGATTTTATATCAGCGATTATTTTGTCAATAAAATTTTTGCAAATATTTTCCTCGATCGATGTAACTCTAATTAAAGATGTCATCGCTTGTAAAGCCACGTCTCTTATTTCGACGTCTCTTCCTGGCACTATTTCTTTCTTTAAAGTTGTCCACAAGTCTGGTAGGTAAGATTCTATTTTTGACAGCCCAAATGTTTGAACACTTTCACGTAGTAGATTTAAAGAATCAAGTTTAGCAACCCTGAGAGTAGAATATGATTTATCAAGTATAAGGGGTAAGCAATAATCTGCAAACTCTGGTACAGCGCATAAGCAGGGCACCAATTTTTCTGCTAAATCTTCTCGTGTTACATTTAGATCCTCCACGCCAGACTGTAAAACATTTATAAATTATATATTTAAATGCTACACAAATGTTACCCAAAAAATAAATTTGTAATATAATTACAGGATTAAAATCAACTGGAAAATAGCACGCCATAACTTCAAACATCTCTTCCGTTAAATGACCCAATGGAAATTCTTTTATAAAATGTGGTAGCATATTGAACAGTAGCATGAGATTATTCGGATCTCTTTCACCATCCATAGAGCTGATAACACCATAAACTAAATCTGGTCCCATAGATCTCAAATCGTCTGATCTATTCTCTATCAAATTTTTAAGTATTAAATATATTTTGCAACGTTCAGGTAACAGCTGAGACTGACATTGTACATGTTCAAACATAACTTTTAATAAGGACGATGGTGCAGTGTGAGGTAAATGAGTCATATACACCTAAAAAAAAGTTTGTAAAAATTCACTGAAAGAGGAAAATATAACACAAGAGATAAAATGATTTTCTTAGACAAGTGCTTACAATTGCTTGGATACCATTTAGTACAGATGGTATAATACTGTAATGATCCTTCATCCTGTCGCAATAAAACGTTGTAATAAAATACAATTCTGATTCAGTGAGATAATCTTGGGGTAGATGCGACAAAACGGAGGAAAGAGCCGTAACCCCCTTCTCCCTGGTAAGAACATTTTGGTCTGTCATGTAGGAACCTAGTATCTCCACAAATGTACAAAGTTTCATGGAACCTGATTCTATTTCTGAAACAAAACATTTTAGTGTCTTCTATAATACAGAATATATGCTTCTATAATTTTAGATTGATTTTTTTATTATGTATATAACAAAATAATCAAAGATTTCAATATACTTAAGTAAAAAAAAAAGAATAGTAAATTGTAGCAAGATTCAAGTTTATATAAATATATAATTTGAAATTACATTTTTCCGAGTTTGAAAAATAATAAAATTAAAAGAACAAAGTACATTACTTAATTCCACAGATATTTGAGCGTGAAAACTCAACTGTTGTGTTTATCCTACTACCAGTTCTTTAATATTGCAACGCAAGTGCATAAAAAATGTGTATTAAAATTTTTCGTAAGAAACGTACCGAAAGCTATATTTCTGCATAGTGAACTTAGAGCCGCTGTATCTTTCAAACTAATATCTAATCGCTCTTTTAAATCAAAATTCGGGGACGAAGCCATAACCAAAAAATCCGTTGTTTACACGAGACATTCAGCACATGATCGAACTTTGGTTTGGTTATTCTGACTGCGAAAAGGGCAGCCAACATAAATCTCGTCGTGAAATTTCAGAGTTCACTTCGGTCAATTTCGGTTGCCTACCCTGATTGCGAAAAGGGCAGCCAACATAAATCTCGTCGTGAAAAAGTGTAGGAAACCTAAACGCCCGCCGCATGAGTCGCACGATTCTCCCGACTCGAGGCGATCAGCTGTTTGAATAGAGACCCTCCTGGAATAGAGGCGAGAAAGAGATAGAATGAGAATGAATTAGAATAATCTTCGCCGTATGCGCGGGAGTGATTTCGAGAGGTGCGGTAATATTTTTGCCGGGAGTGGCGTAATCTTATCGCATCTTTTGCGTTTTCGAGAATTTAACGCTTCACGTAAACACACACACACGCGTCAGTACGCAATTATACATTTATTCTAATGCGCTCGCCGTGTCTTGTATTTTAATTGCAGTATGTTGAGTATCGTGAGGTACCGTACAAAAGTATTAGGAGCGTATAACGCTACGAGACGCGTACTCAGCCGGCAACATTTGTTTACAAATACGAGAGTCGATGTCGGGCGATGTAGCAATGTCTCTTTGAGGGAATACTGTTCGAAATACCTGTTACAAAAGGTAATATGAGGTGCCTCTCCGCGCGGGACACACCTGACAATGCTGTACAGCCGTGGACATATCGGTTGTGACACTTTTTTTTAATAGATTTTAAAACGCACTAATATTTTGCAAATGCGAACCACATTGATTGATGTACTGTTTCTAGATTAAAGCTAGTACACACAATCGTGGTTCGAATTTGCAAAAAATATTAGTTACCTATAAAATATGTATTATACTAAAAACCTATGAAAAAAAGTGTTGCGACTGTTATATCCACGACTGTACATTTTCAATAAGCTGAACAATGTTAGACAAATTAATTTTAACGATTGACAGGGATCGCTTAAACAAGTGAACCTCGTAGCTCGTAATTATGCCTCGAAGCCGAGCGGTAAACACGACAAAATTGTGGGATCTTGGTTGCTCACCTGCGGCGGCATGGTTTTCGTAGCGGTCGCACTAGGTACCCTCATTTATTTTGTATGCTACCATTATGTCTGCGTCATAATGAAGATCATTGTGGAAAAGACGTATGGAAAATAGAATTTCTAATGTAACATTTTTTTTTCTTTAAAAACTTAATAAAGGGTAGCTACATACACAATTAAAACTTGTGTAATATTTAATCGTACAGTAGACATTAAGTACATGTTAAAGCAAATAAAATATGCATTTATGATAATAGCTGAAGATTATTTCTCCTCTTTTCTATATATTTAGGTGGTATAACAAGACTCACCGAATCAGGCTTGTCTATGGTTACCTGGAGATTGCTGGGAGAAAAAATGCCTCTCAATGAGACTGAATGGCTCTCAGAATTTGAACGTTACAAACAATTTCCTGAATATAAAATGTGAGAAACGACGTACTGATAAAGTGTCGAAAAATCAATGTAATGTATAGAAATCTATATATACATGCTATATTAATTTTGCTATAGAACCAACTATAATATGACGTTGGAGGAATTCAAGCGTATTTGGTGGATGGAATATTTTCATAGAATGTGGGGACGCTTAATTGGCGCTGTATTCATAATTCCAGCAACATATTTCTGGTACAAGGGTATGCTGAGATCTGGACTGAAAAAGCGCGTTGTTATCTTAGGATCACTGATAGGCTTGCAAGGACTTATGGGATGGTATATGGTTAAATCTGGATTGGAAGATCGTTTTAAAGATCCTTCCGACGTGCCGCGGGTGTCGCAATATCGTTTAGCCGCGCATCTCGGTTTAGCATTATTCTTGTACGCTAGCTTTCTCTATAACGCTTTGTATCATCTGTTACCCGCTCAAAAGTTAACTGCTAATCTCTCTGGCACCACAATCGCGAAGAATACACTGAAAGCGCAGAGAAAATTCAAAGGATTAATTCACTCGGCAAAAGGGCTGATATTTCTCACCGCTTTGTCGGGAGCACTTGTAGCCGGGATGGATGCCGGTCTCATTTATAACACCTTCCCAAGAATGGCAGACAAGTGGATACCTGACGATTTACTAGGCTTGTCTCCAGTATTGAAAAACTTCACGGAAAATCCGACTACAGTTCAATTTGATCACAGGATTTTGGTAAGCTGTGTATATAGTACGTTAAGCACGTTACATTTTTTCATATGTACCCTCTATTTATGCAGGGAATCACCACCTTAACGTTAATAACTTGTTTGGGTATTTTGTCTCGTAAACATAAACTTCCTGGTCATGGAAGAAAGGCTGTGGTTGCGGTACTTTGTGCTGGTTACCTTCAAGTACTTTTAGGCATTTCGACTCTGTTATATCAGGTTCCCGTAACGCTAGCTGCGTCACATCAGTCTGGTAGTCTTTTACTTTTAAGTACTATAATTTGGCTATTCCACGAACTGAAATACTTTGGAAAGTATGCTAAATAAATTTGTAAAATGGTGAAACTATAATTAGAGACTTATATAACATTTTATATAGAGATTTATATAACATTTTATAACAGATTAAAAATAAAAATATATATATTTATCCACAAAAGAAACGTGGCATTTTTCTCATTATTTATTCTCATGTTATGTTACTTATTAATTATTTCAGTAGTAGGATATAGAACTTTTCAACGCTTTTAACGTTTTTGCGCTTTATTTCACAATATATGTTATAATAATTAGTGATTAATCTTAGGAACTATTATATACACAACTTTGTTTTCTAAACAACATGTATATTATCAAACATATGTAACGTGAAATAATTATTTTGTATTATTTTTTATATAATTATAATTAATTTACGTTTACAAGATGCGACACGATTTAAAAAAAAAATATAAGTGCATAAAGATCGTGAAATATACAGAACAATTATAAAAAATACATATGCAAAATAAAATTGAGTGGTTCAAATATCATTTAAATTACGATTCTAAATTATTCCGAAATATATATGAATTATGCCTAAGCGAAAAATAACTCTTTTATATTGTTATTAGATATAATTTATTATTTAAATCAATTCTTCAGAAAATATCTTTACATATAGGGCACTTATTCTATTATGGCCAATTGTTTTGTTGATTTTAAAATACTTCGCATGCATTGGTCCAATACAGTATTATTAATATTAAGTACCATTTTTATCAGGCAGTTAAAATTACATTTCATTATTGTAACAATTTTTATTTACATAAGAGTTATTTTCTTCCTATTTTGGCGACGTTTGACATCACACTTTTGCTTAACATTAAACTGAGCGCTAGTATTAATAGAACTTGCATTTTATTATTGGATATAAAAGAAAATATTATTCAAAACGGCCAAATTTTATACTAATTATTGTTACATACAATCTACAAATATAAATGTACGTGAATTATATAATCTAGAGACCTTATTTAATATCTTTTGAACTTGTTACTACGTGCTTGCGTGTATTATAGAGCACATCTTTTGATGAGAGAAATAATGATTACAGCGCTCAATTTTTTTACCATACAAGCTGCCCTGGTATTTCTTTTAATTTTGACACTTTTAAAACTATTACGAAATAATTATATCTGCTGAGCTTAACATCAGTTTGATAAAAAGATTTATCATTATTGTGACTCTTCTGCATTGCGTGAACAGTACTTAATAATTAATACTACATATTAATATGCGTATAAATGCAATTTTATAATTTCTCTATAATTTTCGAATATATTAAATTCTCTTCGTCCTTTGTGTGAAAAAAAAATTTTTTTTCACTTTATTGACATCTTTAGAAGAAAAAGAGGAAATTGATTGTAGCTGATAAAATTAAGTTTCAGAGCTATTAAAATATTAAAATTTTAATGAACTAGTCGAAAATTGGGCAGTGCAGATTTTTATACGCACAATTTAAGTGATACATATAAAATACACAGGTTATCACGATCAAACTGTCTTATTCAATAATGATAATCATTGACTTGTTTGATGCAAAGCACTCTTTGAGAACTTGTCTCTGGTATATACAATATATGCATTGCATATACGGCAAACCTATTAGTTATATAATTCGTAATTTTGTTTATGTGAGATAAATGCAAATTTACCCTTATTTAGTCTTATTATCGTAATTCTCTTCTAAAACGATTCAGTTGTCAAAATCTTATTCAACATCTTAACTTTTACTTACAAAACAATGTGTTAGGCCTACAAAAATTTAGATTTTTACGAGAAGATATAATGTGAATACAATAATTTAAAATTATTTTACTATACGTTAGGGTGTAGGACAGTTGGTGTATTAGAACAGAAATATTAGTTTAGTGAAAAATATACGTACTAAGAAATAACTGAAATAAATTCTTATATTACGTTCTTACGTAAGACTAACTCGTGACAAATATTACAAAGAAATAAGTCAATAGTTGCAAGTAGAACATAGAAGATCGTTAAACGAGTCCTAAGTTTAGTAGTATTTTGCAATGAGTATTATATTTTCTTTTCACTATTGTCCATTGAATGTAGTTATTTCCCTTGTATTGGTACGTGATGTAATGACAATGACACAAATAGATAAAAAAATTACCATTTCCCCCTATTTTGCAAAAGCAATATCCTATACTTTATATAATATGTATATATAAAGTATACATGATATATATATTTTTCCATTATAAAACATCTCACATAATGGCCGTTCCGTTTAAATGTATAATTTGTCACGTTTAATGAGTTTTGCAATCATAAAAGAAAGATTTTGATAATGTGAAATTGTGAACTTACATATTATATGAATTATAAAAAATAGTATGTTCATATATTTGTATGTATATATATCTTACGTAAATATAAATAAATCGGTTCAGTCAATTTTCTTATTGCAGAAAATATATCATATTGAAGAAAGCCGAATTTATAAAGATATGCTTTTTTATTCTATTAGTATTTCTCTCTCTCTATCTCTCTCTCTTATTCTTACATAACTTTTTCTTTACAGTATATGATAACGTATATGGATAAATATATGATACAACGAAAAAATATTGATTGCACTTAATTCGCGATTTTATGGCGAAAATTTGTAACAGAAAATTTTGTTGGGTCCAATTTATCCTAAAATGATTTATCACTCATGATGATTATGTGACAAAATACTAAAAACCATAATAAACCGTGTTACTTTGATATATGATTAACAAGATTTGTTAACAAGCGTAAAAGTATGCTTATTATTGATTGAAACATACTTTGTTATGTCCTTATGCAGTTCAACTAGTCTTGCCAGATAGGTTATCTGATTTCTCTGGATTTACAATTACTTGTATTATGTAACCTGGTTGTACCTTTGCTTCTTCTATATGCATTTTATCACCAAGCAATTTACCACCAAAGAACCACCTTTGACGTGAGGGTTCTAAACCTTCTTGACTCTACAATTATTATTATTTTTTTAATTATCATTATCATAATTATTCTCACATATGTAAACTGAATTAAATATATAATTAATGTTATACAAACCTGTAATTTTTTCTTAGCGATAGCAATAGTGTCATTGCTGTAAACAGGTAGTTTAACTTCTCCTAAAGTAGTCGATAGTCTAAGTTTTAAAGTTTGTTCTGTTCCTTCATCGACTGGTTCTAAATTGACCAAAAATTACAGAGATAAGATATAAAATTATGTTGCAAATTAAATAACATTCAGATAAACTCTGAAAATCTCATTACCTGAGCAATCAGCAGGTGAGTCTCTCCCACTGTCTTCTTTTACGATATTAATTGGGTAGGATAAACAATAAATAGGTACTTGATAACGAGTTCCTAACTCATCGTAACATTCAGTTAAGAAACCATTTGGTACAGAAATATTAGCCCCGTCTAATATGGCCTGTGCCAACTGATAATCCTGCGCTTCCGCCGCAGTTGCGCCTGCCCTCAATGCATCCCAAATCTCTTTACGGCCATCAAACGCCGGTGCAGTGTCCCAAAACTCATCTCGCTTACTTCTCAGCTGACCCTCGGTCAGAGGTACATCCGATTTCCATCTGATTACCTCGTGACATAGAAGATGATTTTTTCTTGTATTCCCTATATATAAACAAATTATTTCAATCACAGAGATAAATAAAAATTAATTTTTTAAGATCGTTAAAACTTTTATTGTAAGAATATTATGTTTTTTATCGTGTATTATATGGAACGGCTATATCGAAATACACAAATTTACATTGATTAATGGCAATAGGCGATCTAATTTTTTTAATGCTTTTTATACGTTCCTTTTTTTTGTATCATTTGGCCAATCGTATAATCGTTATGTATTACAATTGCATTAGATAATAAGAGAACCGAGTCAAGTCTAAATTTTATAATAAATAAAGCGTTATTGAACTAAGACCGTTAGAAAGTGTCAAGTAAAAATTAGCCATATAATCCACACATATTCCATGCATTACTGTTCAGCTGATATCATGATAATACTCAAATGTCATTTATATAAATACTAAGCTTAATTGGGTAGATATGAACGATACTACACTTAATAGATAACGTGCACCTCAGATACAAAGACAAAAATAAAGTTAAAATGACTTCAAGGTTAGTTGATGTCCAATGTATTTTCTACAAGAGATTTCGATAGACAATCTCACCCGAATTAGTTCTGCTCGAATTTTCCGATGTATCATTGATTGAGGCATTTCTTGCCCTCGTTATACCTATGCAGCCTCCCATTCTACACAACCGGAGCAAGTAAACATTTCACTAAAATTTAATAACACTTCGCATGCCATTTTCTTCCATCTTATCCAATCGAACTCCTGCCGTAGCCATATTGCATGCTTTCAAGGAGAAATGGGGTTTATGTCTCCGCTAATTGTAAGTGGGGGTTTGAATCTCCGCTAAGCGAAGGTTTGAATCTCGGCTAAGTGCGATTTTAAGCGTCTTCCCTAGATGGCATTAGATCTCCACTAAAATTTGAATCTTCGGTTACCGCGAAATAGGGTTCGAATCTCCGCTAATTTAACTGGAATTTGCTCGGGTTCGAGTCTCCGCTAACAAGTGAAGTTTAAATCTCTAATAATTATAATGTCAATTTAAATCTCTTAAAATACTTACAAAAATACATAAAATTAATACTTGATTGACTAAAATTCTGTTTAGCAAATCCCGCAATAAATTTAAAAAAAACGTGCATACATATATACGACAATATAATATGTATATGTAATAAGCAAATTAAATTTTTTATCGGCTAGTAGAAAATATGTCAGTTGATATAAAATATAATTAAATAATAGTCGCTTTATTATTCCTACGAAAATGTGACTATTAACTGAAGAATGACAAAAAATATATCAATGCGCAGTATCGCAGAGCGTTCCAAATGGATCAATACGAAAATGCGCGCACGTCTGTTTTCCTCGCTCGTCCTCGCAGCTTGCGATGGGCTTGCGGATGATTCCAGTCGTGAACTCGCCCAATATGTCAACCCCGGAGAATCGTCGAAGATATTATCATTCAAAATAATTCTTTCTGTCGATTCTACAATACTTACTTTCACTTAGAATTTTATTGTCAGAATTATTTATTGTCAGAGTTAAAAACTGTGATCTAATGCATCCTGACACGTGAGAGTGCAGAGCTCGCTCAGCTGGATCAACATGATGGGAACCAGATACGCATCATGTAATTATCACATTACGTTTACTATATACATTATACTTATTTCTGTCTGTTAGAGAAAGAAAGAAATTTTTGTTGTAATTTATACATATATATATTATTAATAACAGGTATATCGAAACAAGTTTTAAAGATAGAGTTAATTTTCAAAAAATAGGAAAATGATTGAAATTTTTATTATAAAAATTTTTAATTGCAGATAGTTTAAAGCTCGCTAGTTTACACGATGCTTATCAACGGCTACTTTATGGGACCCAGCCGATACCTTCCGGTTTAGACATCGCAAACATATTAAAATATTTTTCTCAAACCTTGCTATGTAAGTGATCGAAATGTATATACGAACTGCGCGTAACAATTAACTGTGATGCTCTCTCCTTATTATATATAAGAATATTCGCATTATTGTTTCTTAACATAAACATTTGGATAATCCAGCAAAGGAAATATACAATAAAAATTTTCAGGTCTGTTAAAAGAATCATCCGTGTCGCCGTTCGACATGATCAAATCGCAAGAGCTCGACGGAGAACGAATGGCGTTATTTCCAAATTTGGATTACAAGCAGCTTTACAATGCATTGACACAAATGATTGACGTTACACCGTTGATTCACATCGGCTTGCCAGGTTTATTTTCCTTAATCTATCATTATTATAAAAAATACTGTTATACAGGATGTAAAATTAAAAGTGTTACTCTCTTATACTTAACCCATTGACTCTAGTAAATCCTAAAAAAAAATTTCGTTGTTATCTCTAATAATTATCGAGAAAATAGCATGTAATTAAGACTTCATTTTACATCTTCTATATGGTATAAATAAAAGTCAGTAGATTTTAAAAAATTATTTATACTTTCGATAATTATAGACTACGATTTAACTGCCTACCTGTAATTCTTCCCGCTCGTGAAACATCCTTATCAAACAACTCTGAAACTTTTATGCGTATAATAAATATAATTTACATTAATTTTTCTAGCATTCGGGAAAGCCTTGCTACAATGTCTAGCGTGCTTGCTGCTGTTCCTCGATCACGATCTGATCAACAATTTGTCGTACTTAACTGCTAGTACGATATCGGTACTTCCCACGGAGCTGCATGAAGAAATTGTCAATTATCTCTGTTTTTACATTTTACCGTTCACCATCAGTGAGTTTTTCTATTACATTTATATTTATATCGATGTTACTTGAACCTGTGTGTTATATATGATAAGTACACGTTCACTCGTCTTTCTAAGAGAGAATAACAGCTGCCGGGAGGGAATGTGAGTGTGGAAAGAAAATTTTAGTATTTTATCGATAAAAGCTTTTCCGTTTAAGTGAAAAATTGGCTTGCCGGCTATAAAACAAGTTGATAAAGCGTAGATTAGTGCGCATTTTATGTTAGGATTAATAATTAATTTAAATATAAGTTTTAAGCATCTCAGATTTAATGCTTGTATTTTTTGTGATACGACGTTATTCAGATAGCTTGCAGCTACATTTATATTAAGATTTAATCATATAGTAATTGAAAGCTAACAATAGAGAAAATGAGAAAGAAAATGGTTTTTGTTACAAGAATTTTAACTTTCAGCAAGAAAACCCGAAATTGGAGACGAGAGTGCCGCTAGTCAATCAGTGGCTGCTGTTATAATGATGGGGTTTCAGTATTCCAATAATCCAGGTATCATGATATACATACGTGTGTCACAGGGAAAAGTATAAAATTAATACGAGCAATTAATTTAGACAATTATACAATTATATTAGTTTAGAATTATTGTACAATTAATTCTAGTATTTCACACGCTTTTCTAAAATCTTCTGTTATCACAAACGTGTGTAATATGTATTTGTACGAATAAAAATATTAAAATTGTAGGTATGCGTTTACACGTATGCGAACATTTTCTCTCTTCCAGCGCATCATTGTCAATTGCTGGAGTGTTTGATGGCCCTGAAGCCGGGAGTTGTGAAGGACATTCTTTGCGTTATCGCCTACGGCACCGCGTCGGCGAGAGCGTCAGCTGCGAAATTGCTATTTTATTACTGGCCTTCGTTTAATCCAAATCTATTCGACCGCCGCGCGGTGTTGGTAAAATTTGCTAGTGAGTATTAAATAATCTAAAATTAATAATTAAGAAGAATAGGTTGCGGGCAAGAGGTAACAGACAAATCCCGAGTTACGCGACGTACAAAATTATTGTTTGCGCCTCCAGACGATTTCACCCCGTTCGTATGCCAACGGGATAGTTGTCCGAATGCCGGTAATGCGGAAGCTGCAAAAGTCTGTTACAATCATGACATTTCCATCACTTACGCCATTGAATCGCCGCCTCCTCTTTACCTCTGTATCGAGTGCGCGAACGAGATCCATCGGGAGCATCCGAATCAAATGTTTTACGATATTTTGCATCCGATGCAACAGGTGTCTATGGTCTGCGAGAACAAGGTGAGCGCGTCGCAAATCAGGGAGAATTCGAATTTATTAGTGCACGCACGTATATATGTACATACGTGTCGTTCAAATTTATTAAAAATTTTACTAATATTTTTTTACTTTTCGTTTTCGATCAGAATTGCAGAGGGGCGGACAAATCGGCTATCAGCGTTTGTTTTTCGACGGAATGCGCGAGCTACAATGGAAATCATCCTATACGATATTGTCAGCAGTGTCACAGTATCCGTCATAACAATCGCCGTGGCGGTGATCACATTTATCACACGGCGCTTCCGCACATCTCGCAGCTGGACCCGCAAGCGCAAACTTATATGGTTCAAGCGATTGTCAGGCAAGCTACCGTAATCGTTGCAGTGTGCGCGCTGCAAGTTCGGCTCAACTAGACATGGCATTTTTGTTTTGCAGTTTACTCAGAGAAGCTGAACCGATAAGTATCGATAGCAATCGGGACACGTCAGATACAAGTGCTAGTACTAGCAATAAGGGTGGCATGGGGTTCGTAGGAAGTAGCAGTGGCGGAAGTAGCGGTGCTGGCGGTATCGGGAGTACTTTCGGTCACTGCGACCCTACGAGCTTGGAGGAACGACAGCTCCTCGGCAGATATGGCGTATGGCTGCTAGTGGGACTTTGTACCCCTAACGAGGATACCCCGGTTGAAATACTGGGCCGTTTATTATCAATGTTATTTCATTGGTTTCATGTCACTGCCTACTGTTTCGATGGTATTGAAAAAAGACTTATACACCTTATCTTTTCTGTTGGTAATTTAACACTTTGCATATATACACTTTACTCAAGTAGACGTAGAGAGCCAGACGTAGGTAGTAGCGTTGGTATGTCGGCTAAATATGTTGCAAGATGTACAATTTGTAAGCATCCTCTGTATACACACTGTACATGTAAAATATATGTTAGCCTTCAATGTTTGTCTCAAGAGAATTATGTCGATGTACAAATATATCTGTTTCCGAAATTATTATGTCGATGTACAAATGTATCTGTTTCCGAAATTAGGCCAAAATACGCGTGAAATATTTAGCCGAATTCAATCTATTCCGTCGTGCGAATTAAACAAATAGAAAGTATTAATTCGTTGTTGATAAAGATTGCATGCAACGTATCATATCAATTAAAGATCAGTTAAAAATCAGCGCACAACTCGACACGTATTTGAAATTTGCACTTAAATGTCGAATACTTGGAAAAATGTATAGCCTCGCATTACTGCATGCCATATAATAACGGGAAACGATAAGTGTCGAATCTGTTCATGTGTTATACCAATCGTATTGTATGTAGCTAGATTGATAGTTTAACGATGAATTATAATAGCATTCCTGAATCAATTTTAACATATTTCACTTTTCACTTAATCGATTTCTTAATCGATCGAAAACTATTTCAGGCCAAGCGGAAAGCGCACTTGAGAAGTTAAAATCGGAGTACGTCTGCGACTGGCTTTCAGAAGTTATGAAAACGCATTATGAAGTATTTATTTCCTGTCTTCTACCACATCCTGCGGACTACGTCAGAGTCGGAGGTCATTGGTAAGGGAGAGATTTTTACGAAATAAATAAAATCTTTTACGTAATATATAAATAATATTATTGTAATTACTTACGATTGAGATTAAGGCCCGGTTTCACACAATTCACGGTTAACTCGATTTAACCGAAGTTCAACTGATCGCTTTATCTTTTTCTAATATAAAAATTA